AACAGGAGAAGGTCCCCATACATCAGAATGAATCAAATCAAATGGAGAAGAAGAAACAAAAATACTTTGATTAAAAGGTAAAGCTGAAAATTTTGCCAGTTTACATCCACTACAATCAAAAATATCACAAGTTTGTAAATTTCCTAAAGCCCCTGTAGATGCCAAAAATATCAAACGAGAAGATGAAACATGACTTAAACGAGAATGTCATAAATAAAAACTAGAAGAAGAAGGACTCANATCTCAAACGAGAAGACGAAACATGACCTAAACGAGAATGTCATAAATAAAAACTAGAAGAAGAATAACTCAAACGAAAATAAGATAAATCAACACTAGTAGCAGCAGCAACAACTGACACTTTTAACTCATCCAAAATATATAGTCCCCCCTTCCTACGGCCTGTCCCAATCAGCTTCTGAGACTGCAGATCCTGCACATAACAAGAAGAAGAGAAAAAGGTAACTAAATTCTAGAATCACATAACTGACCAACAGAAGCAAGATTTAATGTGAGTTTTGAAATATGATAAATATTAGGGAGAGACAAGTAAGGTGTGACAACAGAACCAACACCTGCTAAAGGCATAGGAGTGCCATCAGCAGTCATAACATGAATAGAAGATGAAAGAGATACAGAAGCAAAAGATGAAGAATCTGGAGACATGTGATGTGAGGCACCAGAATCCAAGACCCATATAGAATGTGACATACTTGGAGAACTATGAGGCAACTGACCTCCTGAAGAAGAAGCAGACATAGCTTGTGGCTGTAAGGAGAGAAACTTCTGAAATTGCTCAGCCAAGGTACTGGAATCGGTGAAAGGACCTGATGAAACTACTGCTGCAGTATTAGACTGTGGTGGTTTGTAACCCTGAGGTGGTCTAGGAGCATTAGATTGTGACTGGTTGCCAGACTTTCAAGCTTGAGAATGCTGTTGCGATTGATTCTGCTGTCTTAACTTAGGACATTGAGTCTTCCAATGACCTTTCTGCTTATAGAAACTGCACTTGTCGAAGGCAGGCATTGTGTAAGGCTTATTTTGATTATGAGAGAATAGTTTAGAAGGTACTGCTAGCACAGAAGGATCAGAAGTAGAAAGAATTCTCTTGTCAGAATAAGACTTAAGACGTATTTCTTCAGCAAATAACTCACTAACAACTGAGTCAAC